TTTTTTTTTTCTTTTACTAAGGATAATTTATTACCATATCTATGGAAAATTTCAAAACCAACTCATGGTAAACCTATTAGATTATTACTTGAAGTTGAAATAAGAAATTATTTTCATCGAAAATTTACGAGAAAATTTTTTTTTTTTGAAGGAATCAATGCCAAAATTTGATATTATTGATGATCATTTTGGTGAACTATTACGAGTTCAACTAACAACAGCTATGGATATTGAAGAACGTACATTTTTTCGTGCTGCATCTGAAGAATGAAGCAAAAAATTACTTTGAAGTAATGATATTGATTTTTCTTTTTGTTCTCTATAATTAGTTTTTTGATATATTTAGCATTATGAGTTGATCGACGTTTAGATACATCCGATCGATATGTACATCTTAGTCAAGAACAAACAATTAATGAACATTATTCACCACGTACAATATCATCTGAAATATCACCATTACCAATATTATCAATGGAAATAACAATAATTGCACCTGAATGTATAATAATTGTTACATTTGATCAATTTTCTACTGATGCAATTGTTTTTATTAAAAATTCTATTGATACATATCATATCCGATTTATTGATATGAAGATTTATATAATAAAAGATTTAATTCAAATTACTTTCTAGAACAAAACCAACAAAAACTGTTTTAATTAATGTTGATTGTATTTCAAGTAGAACTATTCCATTAATTTTTGTTTAAGAACCAGCTATAATTAATGCTGAAAAATTAGCAATGCCAATGGATACATTAATTCCATTAAATCAAGTATATATTTTATCTTAAAAATTAATTTAAATAAATTATTTAATTTTAGCAATTACCAACAGAAGCATCAGTACGAATGAGAATTGATGATCAAGTATTTGATGTTATAATGATACTAATTGAAGAAAAATGAATATTTTCATATATCGAAAAAGAAACATAATACACCAAATGCATTAAATAAAAAATTAAAAAATAATTAACTTTATGAAAATATTTTTGAATTTCATTATGATTTATTAAAAACAATTGAACAAGAAGAAAAAGAACAAGAATTTGAAAAAAAAAATAAACAAGAATAAAAGTCATAGACAACATTAGTTAATCGAATAAGAATTTTTACTTGAAATTTATTATAAAATATTTTTTTAATATTGTTTATAGAATGAAACAAAACAAATGGAAAAATTATTAAATAAATCTAAAATTGCAGTAATCAAGTAGTATTGATCTTAGTGCAATTATTGATGATATTTTAAATACAGCAAAGAATATTAACTAATTCTGGTAATATGTATTTCTTTTATCTTCAAATAACTTGTAGAATTTCTAGATGAATCTGATGATCTTGCTGAAGTACATCGTACAGGTCAAGAAATGGCTGTTCGACGAGGTCAATCAAGTAAATTTAAATGTTGATATTAATTTTCATTAAATTAATAAATGATTGTTCTTTTATATTTAAGTGAACTTTTACCTAAAGCAGGTATATGATCATCATCAATTGTTTCAACAGCTCAAGAGATAAATTGAACTTTTCAATTAATAAAATATCTTTCTCTTTTAAAGTGTGTATCAGAAATACCACTACAATCAAGTGAAGTTTCGCATGTGATTATTTATTGAAGATGGTACCACAAATATAATTAGTTATTATAGATAATAGAGTAAATAAATCAATAAGAAAAAGTATGACGACATCTCACAAAATATACGATAACATATTAAAGTCGATTTTCTTTTTGGATAGGAATCGATCTTTTCGAAGACAGAAAATATTAATTTAATAAAAAAAATAATAAAAGAAAAAAAACAGAGTAAACCGTTTGAATCCTCGATTTTGATGAAAAATTGACGGCATAGATTACACCTACACATATTCAAGATGGCAGCACTGATGTTGCATGTATAACAGTTTTTCTGTGAAATAATAAGAAACTTTACTTATTGCCGACATTTTTTGGTTAATAAATTAGAAAGTTAATTATAAAATTGTAAAAGAATATAAAATTGAGAAAGTTAATAGACTCTTTCAGCTTCTATAATACAGACAGATATCAAATATATGTGAGAATTGTAGAGATAAGATAAAACAAAAGAGAGAAGGTGTGATATGGTCGTAAACCCGGCCCATAGAACTATTTTTAGTAGGACCCTTATTATCTTATATCAAACGAAAGATCACGTTAAGATAAGCATTTTCAGTGATGAGATCAACTATTTTTCCACGGACGAATAAAAAGTTTGCAAAAGGTCAATATTCAATTAAATTGTTTTCATGACTAATTTGATATATCAATTCTATTCATATGATTCTTTAACACTGCTATAAATATCAAGCTTTTGGCTTTAATCGTTTCGACTTTATAACCAAAATATAACTTCAAAAATCTCGGAAAACCATCCCTGAATTTTTTTTTAATCATAAAGAGTCCTTTACATTAGCTACAAAATTCACTTAAAAAACAGTTGGAAGAAGATATCTCATGATGGTGCAGATTGTCATTAGAGTGCCGATTTTGACTTAAAAATCGGTAGTATGTGGAATATCTGTCTTTGAGTTCTACTTAGAATAAAAAAAAAATCCAACATCAGATTCGTGTTCAACATAAAAATTTGAGTCGATCTATATATATATATATTTCAAAATCATCCAACAATTTTTATTTTCCTTGAAAAAATAAATTTATTTCAAATTCGTTTTTATCTGTAAGAAATAAGTTCTCAACATTTAATATTTTATTATAATCCTTAAATGAATATATATATACATATAAAACAAGATTTCGAATGAATTCATTTCCCAATCGCGGTTTTGCTGCATGAATATTTTTAAAATCTAAGATTTCACAGTCAAAAATCATGTCTCCTCTCTCAGATGTAAGCATGCACATGCCACATATGTCTAAGAAAAGAATATTTCACTTGAGTAATCAACATAGAGTAAGATGTCATTAAAACTTTCAAAGATATAGATCAAAAATATTATTATGATTTGTATAGAAATTATTTCATTTCACAATAAACTATATTTTCTAAATGATTTCGTTTATATATTTTTCTTTAGACATTCACTAATAAAAGTGCTTTAGCAAAACATAAATTAACACATAGTTAAGATCGTAAACATATTATATGTTCAAAATGTAATAAAGGTTTCAAACGACTTGATCATCTGTAAGTAAATAATATTCAATAAATAAGAAAAAAAAAACATAATTTCTATGATCTTCATAGTAATGGTCATATGTTAACACATGAAGAAGAAAAACCACATAAATGTCGTTTACCAAATTGTAATCGAACATATTGTGATGCACGTTCATTAAAACGACATATTGAAAATACACATCAAGATATTTTAGCTGCTATACATGAAGGTGGACATAATGAATATAAAAAATTTTTACCTGAAATAGCATTTGTTAAAACAAAAAATTTATCAATACATAATGAATTTTCAATTGATTCTATTGATAGTAATTCACCACGATCATTAATTGATAATGAACAATCATTTAATAATCGAACATCAACTGTATCTAAACCTATGACAACTTATACGTAAGTTTGAATTCAAAAAAGCAAATTTTTTCTATTTTTTTTTTCATATTCAATAGATTTGATGGAGAAAAATGTGTTGAACGTCATATTTGTAAAAGATCATTTAAAAATGGTGCTGCACTTAATGGTCATATGCGTTTACATGGTGGATTTATTGATGTACGTTTATTTTAGTTTTTTGTTCGAGAGTAGTGAAGGAATTTTTTTTTAAAAGACATTTGAATCGTACAGAGATTGTATTAATAATTTATTTATTTTTCAGAAACCAACATCATCATCATCACCTTTAATTGAAAATACAGAAAAAAAGAAACGTTTATCAACAACAATAAAACGAAAACGTATTAATTCTCCATCAATATCAATAAAAATAAAAAAAGAAGAACAAGATATATCAATGATTTCAACAACAAATAATATTTATCAATCACAATCATCATTTACAAATTTATCATCAGGTTCAAATATTATTTCAAAACATTTATATAATACAACATTATTATCACCTGCACGTCCATCATCATCATCACCTAATAATTCAATTTCAACAACACCATTTTCTCAATATACAATTAAAAATCCTTTAAATGTACAATCAACAATAAAACAAAATCGAATACCAACTTCATTATCTACACATATCATTCATCCATCTCGAATAAATATTCAAAATGTAATGATACCACATGATCCAATGGTAAATCCACAAATATATCTGAATACATCATCACCATTACAATTGTATGATGAGAAAATTAAAGAACCATCATCATCTGAGAACTATTCTCAACGTCTACAGGTACTATAACATTTAGAAAATAAAAAAAAAAGAACAGCAAATATAACTTCATAGGATCTAAAAAGTGATGCATAGAAAAGTAAATCATATAGATAGGAAGATAGAAAATGAATAATCTTGTAAAGTAAGAAATTAAATTCAATGAATTTTATCAGATATTGATTAGCGAAAACAGAAATAATTTTTTTCCTCTGAGATCCATACTTCTAAAAGCATTATTCTCAAAACCGTATCTGACAGATTCTTTTGTTGAAATATTGAATTTCTAATTTTTTTTCGATTGAAATTTTCAGGATATTCTAAAGATTATCTGACCTATCTATGAATGGTGATAATTCAGCTTCAAAGGTTTATGGTGACGAATCCTTTTAAATTTTTGCTAGCCTTACCATAGTGTCCTTGTAAGTCTTATATAAGCTTAAACAGGTCTGGAAATTTTGAACCCGACGGACAATCTACTAGTCTCCTCAAATCGTTAAAATATCTGTAGACTATACAGGTTCAAAATTACGAAGATTCGTTTCAAACTCCCTAGCGATATATCTACGGAAGATCGAAATTTCGATCTGATCTCAAAAGTTACAAAAATTTCGGACTGAAATGAAGTTAACCTGATTAATTCTCATAAAGTGCTTAATCCATATATTTTATAGTGCTCAATACTATGCGCACTACAGAATGTACCGACTAGACTCTTTACTCATACTTTGATCTTTTCTAATAAATTATTGTTCGTTAATCATAATAGAGAAATATTGAAGTTAAACTATAATTTTAGACGAATGGAATGTCTTTGCATCATTCATATGTTGGATCATCATCATCATATCAATCTCCATCACATATTCCACAATATCCAATACATTCATCATCACCATCATCATCATCATCATCAATTCCAACAAGTCTATTATATCATTTTCTTCCAAATGTTGAACGATTCAAACCAGATTTTTGTCTTCCACAACAAATATCTTCATCATTAAATGAATCCGTTCGTTATACACAATCACCACACTTTGGTCATTTACCTGGTAAAAAAAAATAAAATCAAATATTAAATATTAGAAAAAAAAATTTTTTTTTTTTGTATTTTTATTTTTCGTAGTACAAAATCCAACTTCATTAATGATAAATACACCAATAACATCACCATATTCAAATCAAAGTACTAGTCATAATTCACCATTATCTCCAAACCAAAAGTGCAATAAAGATAATCATAATAGGCAACTATCACCAAATACATATTCAACATCTTCATCATGTTCATCTTTATCATCATTAAATATTATGACATCACAAAAACAAATTCAAAATACAATGAAACAAGAAATACAAGTTAATAATAAACAACAACAACAACAACAACAAATTAATATTGAAAATCAAACATCACCATTAGCAGTACTTGAAATTGTTCCTGATATTGATAGTCCAATAAAAACAAAAACAACATCAGCTTTTCTTATTGGTACACCATCATCATCAACTGGTACAAATTCATCATCTTCATCAACATCGATTAATACACATTTTAATTATGATAATATTCAACAAATAAAAAGATCTGAACCTACGCCAAGTTCATTTTATTGGCCATCACAATTACGTAGACAATTAAGTCTTAATGTTACAAATAAAACATTAGATCCACTTCCATCAACACCATATACACCACCACCAATGCTTAGTCCATTTCGAAAAGGTCCTGGTCTTTATTATCGTGTTTTTTCTCATCCAGGTACATCAACAGAACCATCATCAATACCAACAACACCACTACCACCATATACACCTATTGGTGAAGAATCAGCAGGTCCAAAAATTAATATTGGTAAAGAATATCAAGCAATTATTCCAAAATGTCGTACAAAATTACAAGATGATGATGATGAAGGTTCGTATAGTAAATATCAAATTGATAATATGCGAATTACTAGTTCTTTTCTTGTTTCTCATTATCGAAAGAATAAAAACTAATAATTGTGTATCCGTTGACCTTTAGAGCTGAGTTATGGTCGTGGACTCGAATTCATTTATGATTTTCTTAAATCTCATATGAATATATTCGTTCATTAGTCAGAGAAAGAAATTTCAAGGATAGTTAAAATTTGATTGATACGTCAGATTTTACTTCCTATAAAATGCTGTAATTAGTATTTATAATATTTTTATTAGTTCATAATTGATGCTAATTGTTTTTTTTTGTTGTGGTAATTGCTGATGAATTATTATTTTCACCAACAGAATTATTATATCT